AATGAAGACTCTAGTGTAGATGACAGGTCAAGAAGTGGTCGCCCTCGATTTGTTAGGACTCCAGCAGTGATAAAAGCTGTAAAGGTGCGAATTCAAAGAAATCCCAAACGTAAGCAGAAACTGTTGGCCCTTCAGATGGGGTTAAGCAGAACCACGGCGTTAAATGAAGACTTAGGGCTTCGGGCATATCGAAGAAAAACAGGACATCGTTTGAATGCTCGTCTAATGGATCTGAGACTGAAGAGATGCCGCGCTTTGGTGAAGCGGTACGCGGGAAAAAAATATCGGGAAATTCTTTTTTCGGATAAAAAAAATTTTTACCGTAGAAGAGAGCTACAACAAACAAAATGATAAGGTGTACGCACACAGTAGTGAAGAAGCGAGCAACCGTATTCCGCGTGTCCAACGAGGTCATTTTCCATCCTCGCTCATGGTATGGTTGGGAGTTTCTTATTGGGGCTTAACAGAGGTACATTTTTGTGAGAAAGGTTAAAAACGAATGCAGTTGTGTATCAAAATACAGTCCTGACGAACCTTGTGTAACCTGTTTCTCATACCATGTTCAATAACAGGCACTGGGTATTCCAACAAGATTCGGCGTCAGCTCATAGAGCGAAGAGCACACAAGACTTTTGACAGCTCCGTGGCGTAGTGGCTTAGCAATGAGTGGCTGCGCTTGGGGGTCGCGGGTTCGAATCCCGCACGGAACAAGTATTTGTACGACCTACAAGTAATTGTTCCGAGTTTGGATGTTTGTCCTTGTGAAATTTGTGTTTGTAAACTGCTTCCCACGATACAGGAGAAAAACCTAGTGTGGAGGTAACGTTCTTTAAAAACAAAAAAAAAAAAGACTGGCTGGCGGCGCGTGAAATCGACTTCATCCGACACAAAGACCAGTCCAGATTTGAATCCGTTAGATTACAAGATATGGTAACACTTGGAGGAAAAGGCGTGCTCAAAGCCTCATCCCAATTTCGAGTCACTCAAGACATCTTTAATTAAGGCAGCCGCCGATATGACATGGACCTCGTTCGTGGTGAGATAGACGACTGGCCGCGCAGATTGAAGGCCTGTATTCAAAATTACGGAGGTCATTTTGAATAAACTATAGTGTCATAAGAATCTATGTTTTGTTAAGTTCATTTTGGTATATAAATGGTTACATAATGAATAAACTTGTTTCAATTATTTTACATTAAACATGTGATAGAATTTATGACCTGACTAGGTAATATGCAATTTGGGTACAGATGATAAACCAGGGTCACATTGGGTAGCTTTATATATCGATACGAATGACGTCGGTGAATATTTTGATTCATATGGACGGGCACCTGTACGAAATTGTAAAAGATGGAACTAGAATGTTGATAGGACTTCAGTTTGTGGCGAATATTGCTTAATGTATTTGCTATATAAGTTTCAGGGATGTTCAATGCATAGTTTTACGAGTATATTTACAGAGAACACATTGTACAACGATATGTTAGTGGATGAGATGTTTCGCTCCTATTTTATAGATAATAAGTAATAAGATTTTGTATTTTATAAATAAAAATTTTAACAAAATTAGGTAATGTGTTTTATTGATGATTCAGATTAGTGTTGTAGATAGGAACAAAGGAGTATAATACAATAGCATAAGCCGACCCACACGCTGGACGAATAATAGATAATGACGGTAGTCAATCAACAATAGATAAGTAGATAAGGACAATGGAGCGCTAATGACGGTTGAGGCTCGTAGCGGATATCAATTAGATAAGAGTTAATTGATCTGCACATCTCCGGAACCGTGCATCCTACGCAAAAATGGACCGCAGATTCGTGATCAGAGCATGCTTTTTTTTTTTTTTAGGATTGTGAGTCGACGAACGTCGTGCGCCAGAACTGGTACAACCTTTCTACAAGTGCGCCAGAACTGGTACAACGTAACTACTTGCTCCGGCCTGGTACGCGCTTCTGAGCGAGCCTCTGAGGCGGCGACTGCAGGCCCAGCAAAATATGGCGTTAAGAACCATCGTCGGTGCGGGTCGCTACGTCCGGAATGACGTCATAGCGGCCAACCTGAAAATTGACACCATACAGGAATTTGTGGCCCGGTTGGCGCGCGGACTGTTCGACCGTGCAGACAACGGGCCGCATATACACCTCAACAACTTTGCGCCGCTACACACTCGCCCTCCGGACGGGCGACCCTATCCAAGAGAACTCCTCTCTATATCGATTAGAGAGTCGAGTAACAACCCTCAATGCCGCTGAAAGGCCAACTCCGACTTTACTAGATAACCTCCTTTTTTCGTAGTCATAACCGACTACGAAAAATTTACCGATTGCGACAAATCGTATAACACCTACAATGCCATTAGAAGGCTCCCAGAACCGGTCCATAGTGGTGGACCGCGAGGACAGCACGGGTAATGGGGGCTTACCCCGAGGCCCGAAACCTCCATGTGCCTAAAGGCACGTGAAGAAGACATCAACGTGTCTTCGCCGTCACGGTTATTATCAACAGCCTTCGGTAGTGACCTATTGCACAAAAAATCAAGGAAGCTGAAATAGACTTCACATACATACAGTATTCGTCCTATCACCATACGTGGTTCATTGATAGGCTCGGGTTTAAACTATGGTTTATGACAGTCTCCTAACTAAAGAAATTTTTGAGCCGCAGCGCCACAGTCTTCGCGATTTTTGACATTTGCTGTTAAATTCTATATTAACATTTTTATTTGCATATTTCTAAAGCGATTATTCTAAAAGATGTTCATTTCTTTAAAACAGATTATAGTTTAAGCCTGAGACTGATTATCATAAACTACTATTTGTAATAAGGCCGCGTATGTTTTAAATATTTGTAGGAAAGCCAAGAGTCCTTATGACTGAAATTTGTGTCCAGGCGTAAAAACCCGATTCTGTTAATGGTTGTACGTGTGCTGTGTAAAAACAGGGTTTTATAAGCGGAAATTTGGGATTCCTCTCATAGTTTAACACACTATGGTAAAATAAAATTAAAAGCAGACGTTAATATTTAAAACTAGCTTTCCCGTGTCTTTGCTAATGTATAGGTACTTCAGCTTACCAACATTCTTAGTAATTCCTCACTACGCCAAAATTTTCAAACGAAACATGAAACTACATCTGCTTCTGTCTGTAGGTACTGTTACTCCTTTTTTTTTATAAATGAAGTAGAAGTTGAACGTACAGCTCACCTGATGTAAGTGGCTCTTGTAGCTCATGGATACCTGCTTGGAGGCGATGAAACTTACTGCACGTAGATGATTAGAATTTGACATAGTTGAAATAACATCCTGACATAGAGAACGAGAATTTACTGTCAGAAAACCCCCAATAAGTAATTTTGGCCACATGGTCTGCAGTCGTGCTTATAGCCACTAGACTTAGACCATTCATGTGTTGAATGGTCTAAGCTACTAGACCAACGACACAGTATATAAAAAGTTAACGTTACAGTCTACATACGTTCCACTGCTGGGCACAGGCCTCTCATTTTTGAGAGAGCTTTTTGGGCTGCCCCAATGCGTGTTGGCGAATTTCACATGTTTGCGAAATAATTTTATTTTTCTTATTTCTCAGACATGCAGGTGTCCTCACGATGTTTTCCCATCGCCAAACACGTGGTAAATCAGCATCTTAAATAGCAATTAACAATTTTATTGGTGCCGACGGGGATTGAACTCGGGTTGCTCGCGTATTATGAAATTTACAGCGGGTGCTATCTGAGCTACCACGGCTCATATATAAAAAGTACTGATGCTAAATTAATGTCTAAGAATTTTGCCTGAGAGACAGCCATGTGAGCGAGTGGGCACTCTTATTGTGCTCACTTATTCTTCAGGACTGGCCGCTGTGATCGAAATTCTATCTGGTGGACTATTATTCATATTGCGTGACAACTGTGACAAATACCTTATGGAGGAAGGCTTATGGAGAACTTGGATAGACTGCAATGATGATGACGTAAGCAAACCAACTATTTATAATGTATGTAATTGGTTGCTGTTTTATTTACTAATGCTTGATATACATCGATATAAATCACAACAAAGCAATGTAAAATAATTATCATGACATTTATTTGTGGATACTTAATAAAGTCATTAAATTAAAGTTATATGATCACTAAATATTCGCTGCTTCGGATATCTATATTTGGGTTGGGGGTGGTGCGGTTCAGGTCTTATATTTGGTAAATTGATAAAAATTTGGTCAAATAACCACTAAAAAGGTTGGCGTACATACTCAGTAGAGTGGACAGTATTTTTTATCCCGGCACACTGCTCGCAACTTTAACAGGTTCAGCCTCACATCAAATTAAAAAATTGTTCATCTCATCTCTAGGACGCAGCACCCCATCGCCAGCTCATTTCAAATGATCGCATCCAGTGAAGAGTGGCCCGAATTTTCTACGGCCAAGTTCTTTAAGTTCGGATCGACTCACTGGTACTGTGAAGAGATGTTACATCCTTTTGCATTCAACCACATTTACCGTCGGGAGTGCTGAGAGAAATTGTTCGGATTAATTCTAGCCTCGCCAAATTCCACCATCGCATATCGCGACAAATTTCGTGATACCATCTACATACATAGTTTGGATGCTTGGCGGTCCACTATCGTGGGATTTAAGTTTTTTTTCTCGCACAACTTGTGGAACCGGCTGCTACTTTAAAAGGCTGGTATCGCACCTGCTACTCTCCTGGTGTTGCAATTGTTTATGGCCGGCGCGGCGGTCGGCACGTTTGTTCCTTTATAAAAAAACAGCATGCAAATAAGCCTCTCGAGCATAACAAAATCATGTTATAGGTTACAAACGTATACTTCAACTTTATTTATATGTAGAGATGTAAAAACATGTTTCAATAGCAGCGTCATGGAACAAGGTACTTTCATGGCAAAATAAAAAATAGTTTAAAAATTTTATTTGGAAAAAATTAGTTTGTTAAATAAATACATACAATTATTTTTTTAAATATACACAATTAGTTGCTCTTTACATAATTATTTTTCTTGCTTTTAACATAAGTTTTGTAATAGAAGTCACTAAATAAAATGACCATAAAGAGATTCTGAGGAATTAGTATGTAAGCAGGCTGCCTGGGGAACGTACAGTCGTTGGCTACAACGAGCATCAGGAAGTGTAGCAGGAGTATGGAGAATTGTAACTGAAATATATCAATAATGCGTATGAATAAAGTATCATCCTTCAATCTTCTCACTTTTGATAGGGCATGGGAATGTCTTACGACATACCATAGAGTTCTTGAACTCTGTACGACAATATAATAACACAGCTTAATAAATCAGTTGTTTTAATAGAATAAGGGTGACAAGCGAACACACAGTCCACCTGATGGTAAGTGGATGCCGTCGCCCATGGACATTTACATTTATCCCCGATTAAGAATCAAAATTCAGATGTGTTGTCACCCCTGAAGACTAAGACGGAATGCCTCGTAACCAGTAAAAAGGGTCTCCGGATCTCTACACTTACCATATGAAATAGCTGCTATTTTACGCTGGTATTCTGTGAGAGCGTGGTCTTTCCCCGGTCGGGATGACCCATTTGTGCTACAACTATAATACAGCTGCAGCGTGGCTCCACCATGTATAAAATATATAGCTCTAACAGTTATAAAATACCCAGACTGACGATGGATAGCACAGCGGCAAGGTACTCGTAGTGTCAACTTGTGAGACATCTGGTATACTGCGATCGCCAATTTTCTCCTAATTGTGTTCTGTGTTTAGCAGGGGATTCTTATGGGCTGAGGTAGAAATACTAACTAATGTTAAACACTCGCTGCCCGTGGTGCAGTAAGACGGAGATATATAACGTCGCCTGTTGCGCTCTCTGTCACACTTACGGGCCTTATGACAGGCATAGTGACGCACCACTGTCGTCGTTATCCGCTCAACAGTCAAAACATCCATCCCAGCTTATACGTCTTTGATCCTGGCCATGTGCCAAATATCTATTGTCAGTAACTCTCATCCATTGCGGCGATAAATTCCCGCCATTTTGTTTTATAACGTTTTGAAATTATTATTATAGCACTAAAGTAACATATAAATTTAGATGAGAAAAACATGTTTATCATATTTTATTGTATAAACCATAACATTATACCCATATATTTAAATAAAACACGAAATTAAGATCCTCCCGGGCAGTAAATACAAGCCGCGATGGTTGCAACATATAAATATAACAAATGAGGCCATTTAGAAAGATACTGTTGAGGTGTTATAGTATCATCGTTATGGTAAGAGTCCGCTACTTTATACCGCTTTAACGTAACCGTTATACAAAGTTAGATTTATTTTATTTATTTAATCCTAGGGACCCGCCCGGCTTATCTTAAGCTTATCGGTTAGGACCTATTAATGAGGTGTTATTTTAGATTTATTAGATAATCATTAATCATGAAGGAACATTTATTTTAACAATTTTGTTGCATTTTTCAAAAAAAAATCTAACTTTTTGGAATAAAATATAACGTAAATCATTTCTAGCATTGCTCCTCTATCTGTTCGTAAGATTCATTGCATGGACAGACAAACAAAAATTTAAAATAGGTAATTAATGTCTTATAAAATAATAATAACAAATATAATATATTGTATCATAATTTGCTTTAAATTTCTAAAAAAATGAAGGCTCGGACCATTGAAGTAATATATACTTACGTACTAGAACAGCTATCTCAAACAAAAAATGTGCGCTACTCTGTGTTCGCGCGGTTGTTTTCTTTATCATAGAATAAACATAGGTAGAATCACCCGTAGGTAATAGTAGATTGTATTGTTAAATAGGTAAATTACTTATATCGAGAACAATATTTAAATTTTGTCATTTATTTTGTATATTATATTTGCTTATTTAATATACTATTACATAATATTATATCACAATTACATTTTAATGATATTTTTATCTGAATATTTTAAAAATTAACTATCTCAAATATAAAAAAACATACTAAATGTATGTTTAACAAAACTTATTAACATAACATATAAATTACAAATATATTTATTTGAATTAGAATAAGAGTCGTTCATAAATGCTGGGTACGCGAGAGTTAAAAATGGACGAATTTATACCACTTTGACTTTGATATGGAAACCTAAAAATAAAATAAAAGAATAATAAGCAGATTTAAACATGAAAATGTTTGCCTAATTATAATAATTTATATATGTTTCTACTAAAAAATGTGTATACTAATATATTCATCCTATACTTAAGTACCTACAGAAATGTCGCATCTGAACATAAATGAATTTCATAGTCTATATTCCATGACACGAGATGGCGTCTTAGGAATAATTTGTTTTATTATTAATCTATAATACTTTTTTATTGATTAAGTATCTTATTAACCAATGAAAAGTAATTCCTTGGTTTTTACTGACATTTCTTGAATTATTTGTGCAATATCTAAGTACACACGACGGCATATTTTGATCAAGAGATTTTTTTTAAATCAACACAACACGTGTTAACTCTACAAGCGCCTAGCGAGTAACTGATTAAAGTGCGGTGTATGCACCGCAGTTGAGTGGAACAGAGTAGCTGAATGCAGTGTCGCCTCTAGTACGTAGTACATAATAGCTCAATGGTTCGGACGCAATGTCAAGACACGGAGTAGTTACATGTCATACTGATTATTATGATGATGTCCAAGGACAAGATGACCACAGCAACATTGTGCATATTATGCTGTGAGAAACTATGTAGGTATCAAAAGTGCACAAATGTACGCTGTTTACAGATGTAAAAAAACACGTAAACAATGTCACCACTATAACTACATATTAAAGTTCTACTACCACATAATTTAATTTTTATTTAATTAATGTTCTTGTAAATAATGTTTTTTTTTAATTTTTAGTATCAACAACTTCCGCCAACATTACCCCGCTATTTTACGCTAGACGCCAGTATCCTGTGCGGGCGTCGCCCTTCCCCGGTCGAGTCTAGGCTGCAGTAAATATGCCGCAGCGTGGCTCTACCATAACAAAACCACTTTATAAAAATACCCTTACAAACTATATACAGTCAAACCTGGGTAAGTGAGAACTGGATAAGTGAGAAAACTCTATGAGTTAGAATAAAAGGCAGAACCCGTCATTTTAAGCTCCCAAAACCTCTATTAGCGAGAAACAGAAACCTCTGTAAGAGAGACTCGTTTTCCCTCATGGACCTCCGTAAGTGAGACTGCTACTTATTTATACCTCTATAAGCGACAGTCGAGCTTTATTTATTTATATTATTTAGGAGGAACTATAGCTATATAGCTATATATAGAAAGTTAAGAATAAGTCATAAAATAGCAGATGTTAAATTTGTAATTTGTTTTGTCATTTGTTACTGTATGTGTGTATCTTTTATGTATGTATGTATTTTTATTGTAGCTATAGTTCCTCCTCATCATGGTTTAGAGAATGATGAGGAGGAACTATAGCTACAATAAAAATACATACATACATAAAAGATACACACATACAGTAACAAATGACAAAACAAATTACAAATTTAACATCTGCTATTTTATGACTTATTCTTAACTTTCGTGGAACTTCCTACCATTGTTTTTGTATTATTTATCGTTAATATTGTACCTATTCTATTTCGTGGAACTAAATAACGTTGTTATTTTATCGCATTCTTTTCGAATGGACACGTGTGCCTGTGTACCGTCCTGTTTGTCGGACTTACTCAGTTTAAATCAATTTCGAAGGAAAGTTCTGTTCTGCATCATGTCAAAACGGAAAATTAAAGTACTGTCATTAAGTGCTAAACTTAAAATAGTGAATGCGTTTGAATCCGGAAAATCGCGAAATGAAATTCAGAGGGAGTTTAATTTACCAGAACCCACCTATTATAAAATTATGAAATCAAAAGTTACCCTTATAAAGTACTTATATATGTCGAAATCTAATGAACGTAACATATACAAACTAATAATTTTATCAAATTACATATTTACTACATTCATACTTGTTGTGGCTTGTTATTGCTGCGTACCTATATAAGAGAGAAACGCTACTCATATACCTGCATTAGCGAGAAACTCGGGTTAGTGAGGAACCTCCATAAGCGAGAATGAGATTGTGCTCCCTTGAACTCTCGCTTATCCAGGTTTGACTGTATTAGTAACACCGTCGACAATTTTAAACACATCTTTATGGGCTTACGAAGTATTAGCGTAAATATAGGTATAAAACGATCGACACTTCCAAAATTGAACAATAATTTTGGTACTTACGATTTGTATTTGTGTAACGTGCTTCTTCCACCACATTGACTTTTTGTAGGATTCATCCCATACAGTCAGGAAGTAATAGGTATACATTATTATGTGAACGAATGAATTTATGGGGACCAGAAACGTCATGTGCCCACCTGGGTAAATGTACAATAAATTGTAATTAAATTTATTATCTATTTGAAGATTATTTCTATTTGAAAGTCCTACCCTCTCGATAACAAAAGGGTTAAAATAGAGAGAATTTACCACACTGCTTCACATTACATAAACTTAAAATATAGTTATTATTTTCGACAATTCAGATTTCATCACGTTTTTTTCTTAACATCCGTACTCAGGAGGTAGTGAATAAAAGGGGAATAAACATACGACTTTTAGCTGACACAGATACATAAGGTTGAACTTGAAGGGCAGCAGTGGTTTGATTCCACGAATAATGCGGTAAAGTTTCTAGTACTTTGAAAACGACTTATTTCTGTCAGCTTTACCTCTTTTGCCAAATTGTATTCTTACATCGTCCAAGGTAGGACTGCTGTTTTACCTAGAAGTCTTATCCTTTGACGTATTTCAGCCGTCAAATAGTAGCGCTTGCACCGCTTGGTTCTGTGACTGTGACTGTGACAACGTATCTGTAGCGTTTTTTGAAGTTGTCTGCTGGTGTTCTGTAGACTACATAGCCACTTACCATCATGTAGGCTGTAAGTTGACTCGTTTGCGTTTATCGCTTCAATTTGAAAAAAAAATAGTGATCATGTCCGAAATTCGGCCCTCGGGAGATTATTATTATTAACAATATAAATACATTTTTTTAAAGCTGCTCCCCATCGCCAGTCTACAAGTTTCAAAGCATGTACAGTATGACCAACTAAATAAATGAGTCACGATCAGATAAGGAATGAAGGGAATCAATGAATGTTCGGTTAGAACTGCTTTCAGACAGTCTCATAGGAAGGCCTAATTTCAGTGACGGGTTGCAATGGTGTTAATTTAATTAGCAATAATATGTAAATGCCGAGCTGAAACTTCTAAATTTTAAATAAACCGTAGTCTAATAAGAACCCACCACAACGTCACTATTCTTGTCGTTAAAATATGTCGTAAGTACTAAGTTTTAACAGAATGTAATTGTATTTACGAAAATAATTATATTTACCTGGTACCCATTTTACCATACCCCAAGCGACAGCAACCATTCCAAAGTGGTGATAGACATGTAAGAATGTTACTTGATTCTGTTTCTTTCTTAAGACGAAAAATACCTGCATTAAATTTAACATTAGGTATTATAAAGAAAATTTGTATGCGGCTAAATGGTTGCAATATTTGTATACCGTGATATTATATTTTTTATACGTGGTATGGGGTCGACTCGACCGAGGCAGTACCACGCTCTCACAGAATATCAGCATGAAATAGCAGCTTAATACTGCTGTGTCTCGTGTGGTGAGTGTAGAGAATCGGAGACCCTTTTTACTGGAAACGAGGCATTCCACCTTAGTACTCAGGGATGACAACACATCTGTACTTTGATTTGTTTTTGGCAGGAACTTGGCCGTAGACGGATTGTCGCTTGAATAATGGTTTGAAGTGGCACCCGCTTACCGAGTAACGGCGTAACAGAGTCCACCTCCACTCTCCATGACGTCCCGTGAGTGTCGTAAGAGGCGACCATAGGAAAGTCCAGAAAAATATCATGGCTGGGCTATAAATATGGTTATACCTAACCTATACTTATAAATATACTTTCAAAATTGTGAAAATTTTCGAAGTTTTACGTGTTAGAGTTACAGCGTAACTATGAAGTACAATGCTCTTGCATGATATCAGTGTAAAGTATCAGCACAGTGCTTTTATATCGTACAGTGTGCGGCGACAGCTGAATACTATTTACCGGTAAGTGGTATTCCAGATTAAGGATAAATTCAGGTTTCTATGGACCACAGCGTCCAGTTACGATCAAGAGGACAGTGTGCTCGTTGGTCACCAACATTCGTAAAAAAAGTTATGTCCGATTTAACCAATGTGCCATCTTTACATGATTATACCCTTATTCCGAGTTCGGGCAAGTTAAAACCTGAAAGGTGTCGGTAGCTATCATATTCGCAAAGAGCATTATAGTGTTAGAAGTTTATTTTTAATAAAATTTTTGTGCATTCCGTACATTCTGTTTTTAATACAAATACTTGTTCCGAGCGGAATTCAAGTCCAAGTTTACAAGTTTTTACCAAGTTACTGCGCTAAGGAGACATTAAATAGGGGTTTAACCATCTTATTAACACTAGACGTTAAATATCTAGAACGGTAACAGGCAGCCACGTCAAAGGGGCTAAACGTTTTTTATAGTATAAGGGTAACTATAAATGAGCATACAGTCTAAACCTCTAACCTAACCTAGGCATAAAATGTTAAATACGCATAATATATCTCGGAGACAGAGAACAGCGTCTAAGGCGAGAGATTTCTGTATTAGGGGAATCAATCTGCCCCGATTAAGACTTCTTACAATAGGTGAGGCCCATGTACAGCTGCGGATACTTAGGATTCGAGAAAGAACAATAATTTTTAGTTCTTATCATTTTGTGTAAAAATAATATTTGACATGAAAAAAGCATACCGTGTCGAGTAAGTCAATTATGTTGATTAGAAAGTACGTGTAACAAACTTTCCAGGCAAATTCAATACTGTTCGGACCGTCGTCCACGGGTTGGCAAACCATCTTGTAATGACTTAACCATCCTAATTTTAAGCTCTGTAAATAAAAACAGATTAAACAATTTTAAAAAATCTAAAATAAAATCATATAAAACCATATAGGTGTGTCATATCTTCGTAGTCGATGGCAGCAGCATCTTTTCGATAATAACTCAAAATAATAAAAAGCTGCGATTGCCGTACTGCTTTACCGTGTCCAAGCGTGGCAACTGTGGCTATCTGTCCTACCCATGAAGCCTACGTTCAGCTGTGGACTTTTCGTGGGAATATAGTAAATGAATTAAAAAAATTGAAAAAAGTAAAGTAACTGTAAGAACCATAGTGCGTGCGATAGCACAATTTTTCAATATACCTTCCAAAGAGAAATAATAAAAAAACGAGTGTGCTTGTGACCACACGACTGAAGTAAGACTTCTTTATCTCCATCTGTATATACTTATATACATATATATGCATATATGTATAATATATACATGCATATATATTAATTTTCTACAAATATTTAAATTTATTATCGGCTTCCTTCCATACTTACGAGGGTGGATTGAAAAGTACTCGGCCTAACCAAGAAAATAAACACATACTAAATCAGTTATATTTTTATTTTTCTACATAATCACCATCAAGTTCAATACACTTTTGCCACCTCCCCTTCCAAGCATTTAGACCGTTGAAAAAAAATGATTCTTCCTTAGAGTCAAAATATGCGTCTACAGCTGCTTTGACCTCGTCGTTTGTCGAAAATCTTTGACCTCCCAAGTGCTTTTTTAGGTTAGGGAACAGAAAGAAGTCTGATGGTGCCAGATCAGGTGAATACGGCGGATGCGGTAACAGTTCAAAGCCACAATTGTGAATTTCAGCCATTGACTGTACTGACGTGTGAACACGGGCGTTATCTTGATGAAACAGGACTTTTCTTCTGAGCATTCCTCGACGTTTTTCTTTTATTTCCTCTCGTAAACGACGTAGTAAGGTGCAGTAGTAATCAGAGTTTATAGTCTGACCCCTTTCAAGATAATCAATCATAATCACACCTTTCGAGTCCCAGAATACTGAAGCCATCACCTTATTTGCCGACAAAATCGACTTAGCCTTTTTAGGGGGTGGTGAAAAAGGTTTTCTCCACTGTTTTGATTGTTGTTTTGTTTCCGGGGTACAGTAATGAACCCATGTTTCGTCCATAGTAACAAAACGATTCAAAAAATCATCTGCATCGGCTTCAAATAACTCCAAACAGTCGCGTGAAATAGTCAATCGCGTCCTTTTTTGTTCAACTGAAAGCAGTCGCGGAACCCACCTCGCAGACACCTTGTGGAAACCCAACTCGTTGACAATGCTGTTTTGAGTTCGTTCATAAGAGATGCCTATAATCTCGGCTATCTCTCTAATTTTTAATCTGCGGTCTCCCATTATTAAATCAAGTACTTTTTTTAATATTTTCGTCAGTAGTTGACGTCGAAGGCCTTCCAGAGCGGGGTTCATCTTTCACACTCTCTCTACCACGCTTAAATTCTGCTATCCATTTTTTGACGGATGAATATGACAGAGCACAATAGCCTAATGTACTGACCATGTCATCATGGATAGCTTTTGATGATAGCCCCTTCTTATGGAGGTACTTAATGACGGCACGCTGCTCGATTTGCTCCATTCGCGGAAATTATGTCCGATTACTTTGTTAATAAATTTATAAAATCGCAACTAATTATCGCACACGTTTCGAACTTCACACAATGAACTAGTCTGAACTGAACTAAATAATGTGGGTAGATTTGATTTTTAGAATTAAATGGATCTGTGTTAGGCCGAGTACTTTTCAAGCCACCTAGATAGTTATTATTTACCCGAAAATTCACATAACATGAACTTTAAAATGAATTTACATTTAACTTCACTTTAAACATAGAATATTTTATGTATTGAACATAATATTAATTCATATAATTGTTCAAAATGATATAAAATTACGAAAAATAACTGGCTATCAGAGAAATAGAGAAATAAAATGTGCGCGCGCACTGCTCTCCCTTGCTTATATCCCCCACTCAACTCCCACTCGCCTCGCCCGATCACACTTTTCGCGCTTTCATCACGCGTTCGCCAGTTTACTCCCCAAGTAAAGCGTGCGTAAAGAAGTTTTACTTCAATATAATCAGCACGTTCTACTAACCTTTGTTAGTTCGGTATTCAGAGATAAACTCGAGTTTAAACTCAAACTCCTAAAATACATAGGTACGTTACACTTAGAGTAATAACCTTCTCGAAGTCTTCCTTCTGGGTAAGTACACCCGTCTTATTTATTTCTGTCGCCAAATATACATATTGTCTGTTATGCCTATACTCTTCAGATCGTACTGTGCTCTGATTCCCGATCTGAAGAGAACAGAGAGCCTGTACAATTACCGGCTGTGATTAGTCATCAGAGGTGGGAACACATTTGTAGACTTTCTTTGTTTGAAGCTGCTTGCAGGTGTCCGTGAGCTGAAGAAGTACCTACCTTAAGGTGGGCTGTAAGCAGTGTTGCCGTTTCAGCGCATTTGGCGCTAGATCTGGTGCAAGTCTAGGGTCTATAGCGCTTTTTTTAATACTTACGTGCTAAAAATATCTAGTAGGCTAGTAGACTAAATATTTTTTAATACACAGATATTTAAAAAAGCGCTATGGACCACAGAATTGCACTAGATCTAGCGCCGAATGCGCTGAAACGGCAACACTGGCTGTAAGTCTCTTTGTTACTCTAATTTTATAATACAAAAGATCTGACAGAACGAATGAAATAATTATTTACATACATACATGCATACATATATAGATAGCCTGATAGTCATAGCCCTCATTAAAAAAAAATTAAACACTATGGGCACGACGGAGCTACTAGGGATTATTAGCAACATTTCTTCATCTTATCACTAATCACTATCACTAATGTTAAGAAAGTTTGCTTACTTATTTATCCGTCACAGCAGACGCGTTCCTATGAGGCTGAACTTTTCTTTGGGGGAAAAATATATGTCATTTTAATTGTGTTATAAACCATAGAATACTATAATGCACACTAGAATGGCTGTTAACCTTATTTTGTAAGAGGATCGACGTCGCCGGGAGCACACATAAAAGCAATTACGTCATATTATCAGTTATCACTACTACAAACACATTTTAGACCTTTGATTAACGTTTTTAACACATAAATATTTCTTTATTTTTGTTTCTAATATTTACAAAATAAAATAGTTTCGACTTACTGGTTGTAGGATATGTCTCCTTTATTTAAATTCCACTTCGCGCTGTTCTTTCGACACGTAATTATTGCACTTTGTATGCAGCACCGCTTACACGAAAATTGAAAACGATTGATTGTGTTGACATTTATAGGTGTGAATTGACATATTAGTGGCTACAAGGGCTCCGCCCACTCCTCCGTTCTATTATGTATGTATTAGAGTATTCTATGTTATAAACCATTTAGCAATTTAAGTAAGGCCTTTTATTACTAAATCCTCAGGACTAAATCGTTTATAAGCAAGGAATACTAATTATTGTTCAAGAAAAGCATGCACCTGATATTTTTTAGAAATAGTGCATTTAGAGTCTAGACTTCCCCAGGGCCTACATTGATACTATTTAATGTGTGCATTAAATTAATATTAAAATTGTTGAGACATTAAAAATGTATAACTTATTAAAATAAATTATATGATACTGCATACATTAAGATAAATTAAAACTTACTTGGTAAAAAACATAAAAACAGTAGAGTATCTGAATAATGTTATACAAAGCTATTGTTTTCCGTAGGTCATATGCAGGTCGCTTGCTCATATATTCGGGCAACCACCTGAATACTGCCATTAAATAAATCACAAGTACGGCTAAACCAGGCCATGGTGTTCTCATAAGGGGCCAGTCTTGTGTTCTCTCATCTGGAAACAAAAATCAGAAAATACAAACTAAATCTCTTCACGTCACAAAATTATCATTCAATTAAAAATCTGTGTGAGTATATACGACAAGCATCATCGTTCAACCATAAAACACTACTGTGGTAGCGTTGTTATCAGTGAATTGAAGCCAAACTGAAATTCACTGGTCCCCTTTTTTTCAAAGAAATAAAATAATTGTAACATGTTAATTCGCTGTATAATTAAAAAAATACTTTATGAATAAAGTTTCATTTTACGAGCCTCTTCATTTTATATTGATATTTTAATGTGTATGTATTTTCTAACAAGCTAATTTGTTAATAGTTAGAGAGTTTAGTTATTATATTTATAAATTCATATTTAATATATGAATGAATGCAGGTGCAAATATATAAATAAGCTTTTTGGCTGCAGCCCGGAGCCCCCTGGATATAAAGGGCCCCCAGCCCCAGTGGAGACAATGACGTCAAAGCTACAAAAAATATTAAGATGATATTATGAAAATTCCATGAGTTTTAGTATGTGAGGACGAGATAGTTAATTTTCGAAAAGAGGCACAAAACTTATTTGATAAAGTGGTTAAACTCGATACCACCACCATAATAACCACCTGCGACAAATTTCACGGGTCCAGCGAATAATGACGAGTATGTAAACTAACGAATATACACGAGCATTCCTTTTACTCGGGCCAAAAACCGACATCGAGTGGAGAACAGGCGAACAATCGGCCCATGTAGCGAGAACACCCGAACAAAGCGTTTACATACTCGTATTCGTGTCTATTTGTCTGTGTTCGGCGAGTATGTAAACGTTGCATTACAATGTTACTAGGTATCTAATTATTTATAGACTTGAAAAAGGAGGCGGTATTCAATTCGATTGTATGTTTTTTATGTGTTATGGTAAATCTATTTTGATGATTCTTTTTTTTTCTTTTCGAATTGCTTATGTCGCTCCATGTTGAAAAAAGGGCAACATTGGGTTCTACTTGTCTTGTTAAAATAAGTCTTATTGGAAGTCAAGAATTTCGTTTCAGTGTAACTTTAACGGCCTTAGACTTTAAGGGGCAATGCCCGATTGCTGAAAAATAGAATGGAGTGTAATGGAGAACTTACTATCTATATGTAAATAGTTTTAGTTAAACTTCCTTTGTATTCATTTTTAATACGACGATATTTAATCCCCAGTTCATCTAGTATGTGTTATTTATTCTACCTTGCCTTGATTGAGAATAATAAGGCAATAATTTGAATCTTAACAGACACATTATAAACTGAGACAAGAGTAAATAGATTGAACCGTTGCAACAACGCGGCGTTTTTACTAGTCAATATCAGAGGAATGCCCTGCTAGCAGGGCCACGATGGCAGGGTCTAGAATGGACGCGAGCATGAACTAGGATACCTGATTAATGTAAAGGCAAAATAGTAGACAGTTGCTTTTGCTAGGCTGGCAGTCCGGCCAGGACCGGCAGTGGCGGATGATCCTTAAGGCAAACTAGGCTAAATTAAGTATTTACTACCTACTTACTTACATAAAATAAAAACTCATACTTTATACAGAGTGAAGAGCATCCGCAGCTCCCTCACACTCTCATCACATTTTTCGTTCACACCCACCTGCTAATGGTATACCTACATATGCCCTAGTCTACTAGTATTAATAATATAGTTAGTATAAGTTATAATTTTTAATATATGCACCCCATATTCCCCTGAGTGATGATTGAGTGTCAACTACACTCAATCATCAGTCAGGGGAGGGACCGGGCAGATTCGGAACCTTTGTAACTTTTGATTCAAGAGAAAGTTTTATCATAGCTTAATTTTGCAATCTCGATATAACGAAACTGAAGTTAATTAGAAAATATTCGTTATGCAAAGTAATCCGTTATATAGAGATTTGTTATATAGGAGTAAGATAGGACTACGATTCGTTTAAACATATCTTATACAAGGTTTAACGTGTCGGAACCTGTCAAGACATGATTTGTTGTGGAATTAAATGGGAATAATTAATAGGATACGTTATGTCAAGGTTCTGAATTCGTTAAATAGATATAAATAATACCTTCTTTCTATATTCTGCAATAATAAAAAAATGTTATAGAGTCTTAAAAAAATATAATAATGTAGGTAACGCTCTTACGGGCTTACAGGATTTCAAACAAAACTCGTTACAAAATTCGTTATATGGAGTCTCGTTATATCAAGGTTACGTTTATACGGTTACGAAAATCTACCCTTATATAACGTTACGTTATATGAGGGTAGATTTTTATGGTTACACTGTATTTTGTATAAAGTGTCAAAACTTTATGAATTATAATGTTACGAGGCTTTGCTCGACAACAGTCGATGACGATAGTATCGACGATAGTATCTTAACTTGCGGTTTATATCCTTTGGAGCACTTGTTTCATCGTTTTCACTTATAGTTCACAGGATACACACATTATATTTTGAAGATGGCAAGAATCGCAACAATTTAAGACAAATCAAGATTTCTTTTTTTTAACGTATAAAGTAAGAAAGCTTTACACACAGCCTAAAAATGTTAGTACAATTCTTCAAAGTTTTTACTTTCTATCGTGTGCTGTAACGTAAGAAAATTCATTACCCAAATTACCTTACTTTGAGGATGTGAGAAACGAATTCGAACGATGGATTTTCTTACCACAACACGGCACTGTCCCGATAGTCGATTTATTTTATATTAAATAAGTATGTTTTCAAATTTAATAGATTGGAAAAAACATTTAGATCTATAAAATTAGAAATAAAGGTATAATACATTTTTAATAAAAAATTATGTACATTATTTAACATATAAAAAAACTAAAAAACTAAATAATCCTGGTCCAGACTCCAGACCTGTTCCTATCGGTGCAGTGCAAGAACGATGGCTGCGTTTCCTTGCTGAATAGTAACCTACTACTACTCGCTAAATAAATATACTCAGGCTTTAAGCAAGAAAACACCTAAATAGAGATAGAAAGTAATAATGATGATAAAATAAAAATTATCATTGTGACATTTTTACCGCATGAAAATGAGTCCTATTTATTTAATAACTTAATATTAATAAATAATATGAAACGTACCAGCAATATCATCGTTCAGGTAATAATATAATTTCACAGCTCCCCTTAAAATCACTGCCATGATTAAGCACTGTTTCTTGCACCAATAAATAAATAAATGAAAAATCAAAACTGCTTAACTGCTTTGACGCCTGTACTTTCCTGAAACAATCCCGTTACTAAAAAAGGTAAACGTATTATGCTTGTACATTAACCTTTTTAAATTTTTATTTGTTCTTCATACCTACTCATGCATGAAGAACAACAAAAACACATGTGACACTCGGGTCCGGGTCAGAACAGTCCAGTAGAGGATAAAAATATCTGGGAACTGCATTCAATTACTGGTGAGTGGATTGGAGGAGTTTGAAGTTGGGTGGGGGTGAACTTGTGCTCGTTTTTTTCCTTCTATAAAAATGCAATTTTGTAAAATACGGTTATTTATTTTATAATTATACTATAAGTCCACCCGGCTACGCAGTTGTGATATCTGGATCTCGACAACAGCGCCACCAATTGTGAATCTAAACTAGAGATGAAACGGTTAGCTGTTTGACCGCATAACGGATACTAGATATTCGGTCAGTATTATCGCCGGATAGCTGGATATCCGGCTGCCGGATATTCTAGCAAACATTGCCGCTTAGTGCATTGCAAGAAGCGAAAAGTAAAGTCAGTGCGAACTATATATGGCAACTATATATGGCATGTATGGCAGGACACAACACCCAAATTTTTCAAAGTTTGCCAAAATCTATCTTTCAGCATCCTGCAGCAGTGAACACTTTTTCCGAAGCTGTCCTTGTTTATGAAGACAGGCGAAACCGCTAGTTACCTTTTAATGCAGAGAAATTACTATTTATTCACCATAATTTGCCCTGAACTACGTAGTAGTATTATTATTTATTCTGTACACACTTAGCACAGTACGAGTACTAAATTTGTAAGTTTAAAATGAAAATGTTGTTATTACTGATTATATTTGTTAAGTGACATAAATGAAGTAGGTATTTTGATAATTTGTGTTTTAGGATAGCCGTTTGTTATCCGGTATCTAGCTGCATAGTAATTTAGGCCCGGATAAGTTGAATACCGGATAGTTACCGGATATCCGTTTCATCTCTAATCTAAAACGTGCTCGAATAAACTTATTCACACACACACACACACACACACACGCACACACGCACGCACCACACACACGCACGCACCACTCACACGCACGCACCACAGACACGCACGCACCAGTCACACGCACGCACCACACATACGCACGCACCACACACACGCACGCACCACACACACGCACGCACCACACACACGCACGCACCACACACACGCACGCACCACACACACGCACGCACCAATCACACGCACGCACCACACACACGCACGCACCACACAGACGCACGCACCACACACACGCACGCACCACACACACGCACGCACACACACACGCACGCACCACACACACGCACGCACCACACACACGCACGCACCACATACACGCACGCACCACACACACGCACGCACCACACACACGCACGCACCACACACACGCACGCACGCACGCACGCACCAAACACACGCACGCACGCTCGCACGCACGCACGCACGCTCCACACATACGCACGCACCACTCACACGCACGCACCACACACACGCACGCACCACACACACGCACGCACCACACACACGCACGCACCACACACACGCACGAACCACACACACGCACGCACCACATACTCGCACGCACCACACACACGCACGCACCACACACGCACGCACCACACACACAGCACGCACGCACGCACGCACCAAACACACGCACGCACGCTCGCACGCACGCACGCACGCTCCACACATACGCACGCACCACTCACACGCACGCACCACACACACGCACGCACCACACACACGCACGCACCACACACACGCACGCACCACACACCGCACGCACCACACACACGCACGCACCACACACACGCACGAACCACACACACGCACGCACCACACACACACGCACCACACACACGCACGCACCACACACACGCACGCACCACACACAGGCACGCAACACACACACACGCACGCACCACACACAAGCACGCACCACACACACGCACGTACCACACACACGCACGCACCACACACACGCACGCACCACACACACGCACGCACCACACACACGCACGCACCACACACACGCACGCACCACACACACGCACGCAACACACACACACGCACGCACCACACACAAGCACGCACCACACACACGCACGTACCACACACACGCACGCACCACACACACGCACGCACCACACACACGCACGCACCACACACACGCACGCACCACACACACGCACGCACCACACACACGCGCGCACACACACACACACACACACACACACACACACACACACACACACACACACACACACACACACACACACACACACACACACACACACACGCACACACACACACACACGCACACGCGCACACGCACACTCACACGCGCACACACACACACACACACACACACACACACGCACACACACACACACACACACACACAATTTCATCAATATGTGTCAAAATGAAAGTGATGCAATGAGTTCATAGTACGCAAATTATGAGATAGACATACCGAGCAAGCGCTCGGAAAAAAACTAAGTAAGCGCCAAACAATATTTTAACAAAACTTCATTATGGATAAAAAAACCGGTTTATGAGAACTTAGATATGATTATTTACTATACTTTAAAAATTATTCCATGAAATATTCGTAAGAATATTGAGGTGTCATCGAGAAATGTAAATAATTAGCGCCTACTTTGCAATTTTTTTCTATCGAAAAAATTACATGATATCGTGTTTTCCTTTTATGCAATCCAAGATCATATAGTCAAAAATCATATATCAAAATTTTGGTTTCTTATCTATAAAACTTAAAAAAATACGTTAAATAGAAAAACCACCGAATTTTCAAAATATCACCTTAAATTGTATAAAAATTGAAATTTATTTAAAACAAAAAGTACAAACAGAAAGAGATGCTCTTAAACATAAAAATTATTTTAATTAAATCTAAAATACAGGAAATCGAAATGCAAACTCGTTGGTCAACGGTGTATTGTATTTGGTTGATTTAAAATTCAAATATGGATATGTGAATGACCCATGAATTCAGCGCAATAAATAAAACTTAGGTAAATAAAAGTATGATTTCAAAAGAGGTAAACTCCGGCATAGTTTTAAATGATAAATGATGATATAATATTATGTCGAACTTATTTAAGAGACAATTGTATAGTTATTCTAATAGGTCCTTACTTATGAAATTGGCGTTTTGTATGGGAGGAATTTAAAGTATTTTTTTTTTTGTAAAATATATTCAATTAATGACGGTATGCGCCGTTGTTATCTACGAACTTTGCTATCTCATAGGTCATCATCGACATCTCACCATGGGGCGAGAATCAATAAACTCTTTGAAGACGGTTTGGACTGCCGCATTGGAGTTGAATTTCTTTCCTTGTAAGAAGTTGTCCAAATTACGGAAAAAATGATAATCTGTTGGAGCAAGGTCCGGGGAGTATGGTGGATGTGGCAGACATTCCAATTGTAGCTCATCTATTTTAGTGGTTGTTTGTTGTGCAGTGTGTGGTCTTGCGTTGTCGTGAAGCAGCTGTGGCCTAGAGCGATTGAATAACGTTTGTAGGTAAGGACTTACATGAAGCCAGCAAACCCAATGGGTCGATGATCTGGGCTATAACCGGAAGAATAGTCCTTTTTGTAATTTCAGTCGAAATATTACAATTAATTTTATAATGAAATCAAATAAAAGAAGATTCTGATTAATTCACCACACATTAAATGTTACGTACTTTAATTTTCTTAAAACCTCAGAATATATTTAATATATTTTAATGACAACTTTACACAAAATCAACCATCTGAAAATCGTATCGTATTCTTAACGTAATTATCCCCAAGATTACTCCCCCTCAGAGCATTATAACGATAAAAGAGGCACAACTACACGACAAGATAAAGAGTACTGCCTGTAGATAGTAGCACATGCTATGCTCCCCCGAACGTGTTCCTGCCTTGTTCGTGGTGGGGGGGGGGGGGGGGCGGCTCAGTAGTCGTGGCTTAATCACTCGCGGTGAGCTAAGAGGAACCCACATGGCTGGCTCGAGGTAGCCACTCCGAGTGGGCTTGGTGAGTCTACTTTGGATGTGTGTTGGTGGGCTGCAGCGAGAGGGGTGCCCTCACCACCTATCGGTGCAGCCAAAGTGGAGTCATAGAGGAAGATGAGTGTTGATATGGTGATGCGACATTCGCTCTATCCTCCGCGACCCTGACGGGGTTGATTGAAGCGGTGGTGGTTGGGATGCGGGAGAGGAGTGTCGGTATTGCTCGCGGCGCCTCGTAACACTGTCGGTGCCGCTCTCCCTACCCTCCACATCTGAATCTTGATTGGCGGCAGAACCAAAGACCAGATCCGCCGCTGGGATCAGGAAGTCTAGTGCTTGTGAGTGCTCGTTTTTCCTGGTCCCATGGCCTTTGAGCATCGGACACGGGGGCGTCCGTTGCACAGGTGTAGTTGGAGGCCGCGGAGGAGGGCTCTGGGGAGAGGTGTTCTGCTGAAAGAGATAGGGGAGCAGTAGTCGTCTCCTGAGGAGAGGCCGCCATTGAGCAGTTAGCGCTGATGAGGTTGTGTGCGAAAGCGTTCCCGTGGCCCTGCCGTGACGAAGGTGGAACACCATGGGGTTTTGGTCGGTGCGAGTCCGAGATAACTCATCCTTGCCACCGCGAGGCGGGTATGCGTAGGCATTTCCGCATGTAAAACAATAAAAAAGCATACTAGGTTAAGTTGGCGAAGATTCGATTCCTCTTTGTAGTTATAGAACTATCATTGTTACTTCAAGTTTCCGTGCATCACAGATCTGTAATACAGTACACATAATATGATATTGCACATGTATTGCGCAGAAGACGGTATCACCGGGACATGTGTTTTCGTG